CTATATCATTCATTATCATATCTTTCAGACACTACATATCATTCAGCATTATATCTTTCAGCCACTATATCATTCATTATTATATCTTTCAGTCACTATATATCATTCATTATTATATCTTTCAGTCACTATATATCATTCAGCATTATATCTTTCAGTCACTATATATCATTCAGCATTATATCTTTCAGTCACTATATATCATTCAGCCCCCACATATACTTAATTGATATCTGCAACATTTGTTTTTTCACAATGTTTTAAGCTTGTATGTTTTTTTTTCTTTAAATTAAATTACAAAAAGAATGAATTAACCTCATTTGGCTTTCATTAGCATAATGACCAATATGATACAGTCATTGCTACATGATATAGTAAATTCCTAAAACTGAAAAAATAACATTGAAAACCATTGTGATAAGAAAACAATAAAAAAAAAAAAACACAAAGATACTAATGAAATAAAAATGAGCAAAATAAGTTGAAGAAAGCATAATAGAGGAAAAGCCAAAGTTTAGACTCCCTACAATTCTGTGAACAGTGAGGTTTTGATTATTAAAGAGAGTATATAAGTAAAAAGTAGACTATCATTTATAATAAAGGTCTTAATACATTTTCTAATATTAAATATGCATGAAACTTGATCTTTTGGTTAGTAAAACAAAATTATTCATTTAGTTTTTCACTGAAATAATTTCTGTGAACAAGTTATTATGTGAATCTATATTTAATCAATTTTTCAATCTCGCCATGGCTCAATGATTATTAAAATTCTCTCACAGACTATCCATTGTAATGACTCCATATTAGTGGCTTGGACTCTAGTTTGAATGAAAGAAATATTATTTCCAATTATCCCTTTTACTGCAAACCTAATTTGCATTATCACTGTGGAAAGTAGAAGGTATGAAAATGTGGCCTTGTAAAATTATTCAACTCATCCACAAAGAAAAAGGAAAGGAAAAGAAGAAATGCAAATTCAAAATGTTTATATTTTTTTTCCTTTTTTTATAGTCCATTTTCTTTGTATGAAGAAAGTTTTCATACAACAGAAAATAGATGAGACACAGGAAGATTTCTTAATGACTTCAACTCGGACTGTTACATCCAGTTTCTACTTGTATAACCACATGGACTGATTAGACTTTGACTAACTACTTGATAGCATTGTTTTTTTTTAATTTATACTTCAAACAAAAGGACATCCTTGTAGATGCAGAATGTGCATGAATATTTAACAGAAATATGATTGGTTCGATTTTAAAGTATCTTACGTGAAGAGTATAAAATTTCTAACTTAATAATTATATATACTTAAAAACTGAAGCTTTGCAGAATTGATGTATATTTTAAATGGTGCACATTTTTTCATCTTTCACTGTAAGTTATGAGTTACTTAAATTTTATTTTAAGTTGGTATCCACTCAGATGAGATATCATATTTTAATAACTTTTAATAAGAATCTTTTATTAAAGTAAAATATTATTTTAACTTTTATTAAAAAGATGTTTTTAATTTTGTTTGAAACTGATTAACAGAATATGTTCTAATAATATGATGAATATAATTTGAATCTGTTTAATTTGTTCATTTTACCAAACCTTAATTTATACAAATTTTAAAGTTTTTCTTCACAAACACTACATCATTTTCTTCAATAATTGTAAATAAATTGTGTAAAGAAGTTTAAATTGAATTTTACTTGATTTTGATACTTGTGTAGTTAACCATATTGGGAGCTTATACCAGCTATGGATACTCTTGCAATAGGAACTGAAATGGTCAAAAAGCAGTCAGTATAGAGAAGGCACTATGCATCACTTCTATTTGAAATTTATATAAAATCATAATTTAACATCCAATATTTTTCAACCAATCATGACCATTCCTGAAGCCACTTGGAAGAGACAAATTCATGCAAAAGCAATCTTTTCATCAATGGAGATACGTGAAGAGAATGAAATTAGCATAAAGATTTACTTCAAAGGAATTGTATTTCAAGTATCTCTGTCACCAAAGACACTGTTATATCTTTCTTATCCTCGTATGCATAAAAGTGCATATTTACATTTTTACCTATCTATACTGTTAGTGACATGTATACATATATGTGCATACATATAAGACAAGAATTTTACACTTTTACTTTAAGATGTGTCCTTCCAGCATGTGTACAAAACTTTTTATTCAGTTACACAGTGAATTTTAATGAAATTATAAAATATTTTGTATTTTGCTGGAATATTAAATTTTGTTTGTTGTTGTAATAAGTTGGTCACCATTTTTGTTTTTTTTGTTAAAAGTGTTTGGAGTTTTAGAAAAAAATCAGTAATCTTTTGTTTACTCAAAAGTTTCTTTTTACTAAACATTTCCTTTAATAATGTTAGTGAAACAAATGTAAGTATACTTTTAGTTTTCAGTATGATCAAAGATTCACTCATATATTTCAGGGATTTTGCAAATTTTATATGTTTTTTACAGTCATAAGTGAAAATTTTAAAAAAATCCTGAAAATTTAAAAAGTATTTTTTTTTTATCAGAATTGATGCATTTAATTTCTTAAATAATTTAGCAACTGTTGTTTCTCCACACAGAATTTCAAATCAACCTCAATAATCAATAGAATTTTCAACATCAATTATTTTAAAATGTAAAATTTTTTCAGAAGGACAATATATTGATTTTTAAAATGGATATAGTATAAAGGTACAGTCATTCTTTAAGAAAATGATGTATTTCAAATAAGATGTTAAAGGAAGTTTTTAGAATTGTATAAAAATTCCTTAAATGTAACTCATGTGTATATTTTAACTGATGTAGTGTAGCATGCACATGGTCAAAAAGATGGTATCCCTGGGTACAAAATTCTTTCACTTGTTCAAAAAAGAAGAAAAATGAATAAATAAAAAATAATACACTCTCTACCTAAATAGTGTTCTTAAGTAAATATCAAATTTAAATTCATCAAACAAAAGTAAAACATTAAATAAATGAACTGAAAAAAAAAAGACCTAGTAATCTTGCAATAGTGTTGTCAAGTCAACTATCAACTGATAGAAATTGCAATATAGATTTCAATACTGTTAAAAATGTTATTTACATTATTTACATTGTTCGGACTGTTGTCTTCATCTTTATTGCCATATTTGCAGCATTTCGGCACACTCCATCCTTCTTCAGGTGATTGGAATTTTGACCTGAACCTTTTATTTCATCCACCAGGGTGGATTGTTCTACTTCCACATGGCATGCTTCTTCTGGATGTCTCGGTTATCTCCCTTTAAGTCAATTCTCCTCAAGGACACATGGTCCAGTGGCTAAAAGCATTGGTTGGATCCAGTGACACTTAACCCAAAGAGTTGCAAGTTCAAAACCTGGCTACTGCAGTGGTGAACTAAAAGGGAGATAACTGAGACATTCGCAAGAGGTGTGGCACGTGAAACTAGAACAATCTACCCTCAGTGGACAAAATAAAGGGTTCAGTTTGAAATTACAATCACCTGACAAAGGCCGGAGTATACAACAGTCGAAATGTTGTGAAAACAGCATTAATGATGAGGACAAGAGTTCAAACAATAATTACAAAACCTCATCTCAGAAATATAGACAGATGTTAAAAATGTTATTGGAAAATTTGCACACATTTTAAGACTAAAGGATTTTTAAAAATAAATTTATATATACTGGCATGCATTTTTACTTTAATTATTAAAAAATAAAATACATATGATGGAGAATGATGTAGAGGGTGTTCAATGCTGATCGGTGGAAGGGATTACTGGGGTGTGGCGGTAGAGGCCCCCTTACTTGCCTTGGCTCTGGGAACCTACGCCAGGCAACTGGTTGGAAAAGAAGCATAACTTCATTTTCGTCGTAACCAAATCCCTAACGAGTAAGTTTTTTTTAACATATAATGTTAAAATTTACTTGTTATTTATTTTTAGTTGCAATAAACAAAAAAAAGATACTTTTTTTTTTTTTTTTTAAAATAATATTTGGAAGAAGTTTTATTCTGAAGTGGAGTTTTTATTGCGTGCTTTAAACAAAATAAGATTTAAATTTAAAATATGATAAGCATTTTTAATTTTAATAAGTTTGTTTAGTTTTTTTCTATAGCAGAAAAAAATACTGTTTCTCCCATCAAAAAATAACTTTGGGAGAAAAAAATAACTTGTTTAAATACACCTGTAGTATTGGTAAGCAGCTGTAAGCTTTTTTTACTTTTCATTTTGCAAACAAATACACACACAAGAAGAAGCTGACCTTGTTATGATGATTTTGTTGATGGATAGGTCATCTTAGAGTGAGGTGAGAAATAAATGCGAAAGAAATAGTAAAAGAAAATTAGGAAAGAATGTTGATGTATTTTTCCTTTCTTGTTTTTCGTGTATTTCCGTGATTATTCGTCAATACAAGATTATCGATTTGGTAGTCACGCTTGTTACGTCGATTGTCGACTCACACCGAACATTCTTGTCGGCTAATGTCGTTAGAAGTGTGACCCTGGCATGAAAAAGTGAAAAGGAAACACGCCACAAGGAAGAATGGGAATGTTAAATAATAATGATCTAATAATGATAATTATAAAACGTGACAACTAGGCGAGGAGAGTGGAAAGTTCTTCTCAGAGAAGAAGAGCAATTTAATTTATGAAATGATAAATGAAAAAAAAAAAAAGTAACAACGTGCCTTGCGAAAAAAAAAAAAAAAAGAACGAAATTAGTAACACATGAATGAGGAAAGAAATATGAATGAATTGATAAATAAAAAACTGAAAAATATTTCGGGTGTGGGAAAGACCAGAATAGTTGGCAGGAAATAGAAGAGAAAAAAGTGATTAATATTTAAGAAAAACAAATTAAGGAAGTTAAAGTAATAAAAAGTATAGAGAAAGAAAAGATAAATCCGAATTAGGAATATAGCAACAATAATAATAAAAAATCGATCAAAAGAAAGTTATAATAACAGAGAGAGGGGGAGAATAAGAGTTAAAAAGAGAATGAGAGATAGAGGGGGTATAGTTAGAATTACTATGCAAAACAGAGGGAGGAAGTTTTAGAAGAGGAAAGGGGGGAGGAGTGAATAAGAAGAAAAGAGGAAGGAGGCGGTTAGCAATTAATTGTTTGCCACGAAAACCAAGGCAGACATATCAACAGACATAGATACGAAAACACCAATAACTTCTGCGCGAGTAACAACAACAGCAACAATAATAAGAAGAATACGACTAATAATTGCATCATCATCAACAGCAATAATAATAGTAATAATAATAACAGCATCAGTAGCAACAACAAGAAGTCGATTTCTGTGTAAAAAGCAAAAGACAAATGCAGTAATTATAGTAGTCACTAAAGCAGTCAGCCATCATCAGGCAACGAACAGAAACTGGTGCGTGCTGGGGTTGACGACGTGGATAACTTAAGAAGAAGAAGAAGATTTAATTTTTTTTTAATCTGTTTTCCTTTGTTTTCCCCTTCTTAATTTCGTATAAAAAAGAAAAAGACAGGAAACGAAGAAATTATCATCTTTTCTATTTTTCTTCCTTATCTTCATCTTTTTTTTCATTCATTCATTCATTATTTGTTTTGACATCTTTAGACTTTTCTCTCTTTCTTCTTTTTCGGTTTGTTTGGTTACCTGAGAACTGAGATTATTTATTTGTTGTGAGAATCTGCTTCAAGCAGATCTTGAATCTACTTTCTTCTTTATTTTGTCAATAGACAACAACAAAAACATTAAGAAAAGAAAAAACAAAACAAAACTTGTTTCTTTTTGAAAGAAAAGTGTCTTCAGGATTTTTTTTTTTTTTTAAACATCAAGGATTTTTTCTCAAGCAAAGATAGACAGAAAAAAGAGGAAGAACTAAAAGAGGAAAGATAGAGAGAAGAACAAAGGACTAAAAAGGAGGAATCGGTAAATATTTTTGAAATTTCTTCTCATTTAAAACATGTCTTTGTGAGCATCGAAGAATTTTTTCTGTTTATTTTTGCCTTTTTTTTTTTTTTTAGTTATTTATTAATTTTATTTACATTTTTTTACTATATGGATGTATTGTAGAGAATCAAAAAGGTATTACTGATTATTTTCCTAAAAATTGGGATACTCTATGTCAGAAGAATAAATTACGATCAAGTGGGTTTGTTTTTGTTGTTCTTTCTGGTAAACAATAACAACACAGTATTTGATCGGCAAGCTCTCCGATCATCTACAGGTTGTCGGAAAGCTTGTTTTTTTTTATTTTTATTTTTACTTAAATTTAAATTATAAAAATAATTGAAAAGGCATCGAAGATTACGATGTCAGATCAAAAAGTCCAAATAACTTTAAAAAATTTAAACAAATCTTCTTGGACATTTAAATTCACCAAAAAATTTATTTAAATGTCACATTTTTTATTATTATTTATAATTCCACTTTTTAAAATTGAGTTAAAGTCAAAATAAGAAAATTTCACAGTTTCATGTGCGAAAAAAAGTAGTTTTGTAGCAAAACAATGTTGTTTTTTTATGTTTATTGATAGGGAAATATTTAGTGAATGTATTGTAAAATGTCTATTCTTTGCGGGGAGTAAATATATTGTCAATTAAGTAAAAAAGAAACTGATTTTTTTTTTGTTGTTAATCCAAAGACAAAATAAAAAAAGAAACTTTTTTTTTTTTTTTTTTTTGGAAGGGCGTGCCTTCAAAGTGAAAGTCAGTGTAAAAGACTAGAGAGCCAAAAAATGTGTTTTTAATTTATTTTATAACAACATGTCAAGTAAAATAAAACAAGAATTATATACATTCACGTGTTAAAATTTCTAATTGAAATTTAAAAGAACTTATGTTGTGTTTTAAGTTAAATTCTATTTAATTTTCGTGTTTTGACCAGAGCGATAGTTTTTTTTTTTTTTACCTTCATTGAAGCCGTAAAATAACAATTTGTTACTTGAGCCAAAATTGTTTTGTTTTTTTAAGTGTAATTTAAATTATTGTAACAATATATTTATTCAAAAGTTACACTTTTTGGGGTGTGTGGGAATCCATAATTGCATGGATCTGAAAGAAATATTAATGTTCTTCTTACCAAAAACATGGAAAATTTCTTTAATGGTGCCTCATATTGCGAATATTTTTCTACTACACGGTTTCAAAGATGTTATTGTTGTGAAAAGTTTGTTTTTTTTTAATCATGTAATTGCGATATGAAGAAAAGTAAAAAAAAAAAAAAAAAAAAAAAAAAAGAAGGTACATTTGGTTTTGACTTTGTCTTACTTATTTTATCCACGCTAAAATATTTTCAATAATAAGGACTTCGTTTCTTATTTTTATTTTTTCGAATGATGTAGCAATGATCTTTTTCTTTTCCTATGCACTATTATTGATAAAAAGAAAATACATTGTTTCTATTAATTGTATTTTTTAAAACTTTTTCTCAGAATAAAAAATAAGGCCGGTAGACTGCTTTATTTTGAGAATGCCATAAAAAAAAAGTGTATAAATCACTTGTTAGTTAACAAAAAAAAATCTTTTTAAAAAAAGTCAAACTTCAAACAGAAATTTTAAAACCATCCCCATAAAAAAAAATATAATAAGAAAACATTTTTATCTGTAAACTTTTTTTGTTTGTTTTAGATTTTTATTGCATTATTATCATATGTTATAGTTTTTTTTTTAATTAAGGAAATTTCAAAAGTTTAAACTTTATTTTTAATTTTAACAGGTGAGGGGAAAAGTTTTATTCTCGCACTAGAGAGAAAGAGCGACTCTGAACATTTTTTTGGACTTATCGGAAAAAAAAATTCCTGACAAAACCCTAGAAAACTAAGAATTAAATAATTTTTATTTGGTCATTTAATTTTTCTGCTTTCTTGCTAAATAATAATTCTAAATTTGATACGACTTATTATTTTCGTATTTTTAGTTTTTTCTTTCTCTTCTCCCAGTACAAGCCCTTTCACAAAATTTGATTTAATAATAAAAAAAGAATATTAAATAATTGTGGACCCTTATTTCGTCTCGATCATTGTATAAGAAATTAAAAAAACAAAAAAAAAAACAACATATTTTGGATATAGCATCTATTTCCCTCGTCTGTATCATTTTAATTTTTTAAAACTTAAAAGCATTTCAACCCGGAATGTTCTACCAAATAAGACACACGTGTGTTTCATAACATGGGATTGCTTTTTAACTTCAAAGGTCATTTTCTTTCAATTTATAGGAATTTTGTTCAAATAGATTAAATTAAAAATACGAATTCGAATCAGCAACCTAAAAAAAAAATAAAGCAAAAACTTAAAAATACGTTCAACAACCGAAACATTCTTCTAGGAAAGAATAAGAACAGGTTTATTTTTCAACATAATTACTGCCTGTTAAATTTCTTACTAAAATTAAAGTATTTTCAAAAATTTAAGTTTCTGTACATTTGTCTTTTTGGGACAGATTACCATTATTTAATTATTATTATTGTTGGTGCATTACCCAGTGCTTAGCTTACTACTATGACGACGACTTGTATATGAATTATTATTACTGACGAGAATGATGAGATTTATTTATGAAGGGATAGAGGGACAACGTGACAAAGATAGATGAATTATTTAATTTAAGTATAGCTTCTTAAATTTAACTAACACTAAGCTAAAAGTATGAACTAGCTAGTGAGGATCGAACTCATTACTCAAAAAGCAAAAAGTAATTAGTTTATACCAGCATCGCTCCTATGAGTTTAGTTAGCCAACTAAAAAAAGATAGACTGAGATTGAGAAGTGAAGATGATCAATGAATTGAAAAAGAATAAAAATGCCAATGACGCGACGTGTTATTTGCCTAATAAAATTAAATAATTATTCTTTTATTTAGTTAGAAAGAAATAGTTTCTTTTCTTTTTGAAAGTAAAAATAAAACTCCCTTTAATGTTAAAAAAAAATCTTCGACAAAAAATTAATGGTAGTAAATTGTTTTGTAACAGGAGAGTCGGTATCGGTTTTGAACTTTTTGACTTTTTTCAACGTGGCGCAAGAAGGAAGAGGGTGACTATATCAGATTTGATTTTTAAAAAGTAGAGAAATCCTCCTACATTGATTCTTCTAACCAAAAAGGGCCTTGAATGGAATAAAAAAAGAAAAGGTTATCTGATGTTTGGTGACAATTGGTTTGTCTATTGATCCTTTGAGATTTTTGCACAAATCCTCATCAAGTTCAGAGCCGTTAATTGCTAATTGAATAAGGATGCATTGGATCTTGGGGTGGGGGAATTAATAAAATTTGCCCTTGATTCATTCAAGGCTACTCTGATCTTGACGCCAATATCAGTGAAGGGCAGAACCCTGACAAAATAAACCCATTTTTTGTCACCCTTGCCATTTGCAATCTCTCTTCTCTTCACCATTCAGAAATTGAATGACACTGACTAGTTTTTCTTTCTGGACTTTTTTTTCATCAATCAATAGGGTTTAATTATTGCTTCATGAGAGGCAATTATTTTTAGCAGGCAAGAAATGACATTATTTGATCAGAGCTTAACTTAGAGAAGAGCAAGCAATTTAATTAAAGTTTTCACACATCTAAATCTTTTTACATTTTTATTTACATTTTTTTACAGTGAGGTTACAGGTTTCAAGATTTTGTATTCTGAAAATTAATTTTTTTTTAATCAATTTTCTAATTGTGGAGGAAACAACTTTGTGAATGTCATTAAAGGAGAGAGAACATGCATAAGTATTTCTTTAAAATCAATTTTTTTTAAAATGGTGCAAGTGGTACAACATTTGGAGTTCACATGGTAAAATATTTTTACTTAATTAAAATCGTAGAAGACAGAAGTTTAAAAATCACTTATAAAAGATTAATAAGGAATTAAACCTTACTTAATATATCTAAGAAACTGTTTTTTGTAATCACCAGATAAAATTTTATCAATTGTTTAGTAAAGATAAAAAAAAATGTCTGGAAGCGCTTAGTTACATAACTCACCTTTACAAACAAATGTTCATTATAAAAAAAATCATTGGTTTGCACTGCTCAGG